ACTACTACTACTACTACTACTACTACTACTACTACTACTACTACTACTACTACTAACTACTACTACTACTACTACTACTACTACTACTACTACTACTACTACTACTACTACTACTACTACTACTACTACTACTACTACTACTACTACTACTACTACTACTACTACTACTACTACTACTACTACTACTACTACTACTACGTCTACTACTACTACGACTACTACTACTACTTCTACTTTTACTTCTGCTTCTACTTCTACTTCTACTACTACTACTACTACTACTGCTACTACAACAATCGCTACTACCACCAGCGCACCCCTGTGCGTGCCCTTTGAAGCCGAGGAACTGCCACGCCTGCCACGCCTGGCGAGCCCGAAATGGATAGGGGGACCACCCCAGCGCACCCTCATGTGGTGTCCATCAAGTGCCACGCCTGCCACGCTTCACGTGCCCGAAACGAATGTGAGGACCACAACCTGCGCACCCCCTGTGGTGCCGAGGGAATGGCATGCCTGCCACGCTTTCCGACCCTGGCACGCACAGCGCCCCCACTTCTTTCGCAACCTCCGCGGTGTCGAGAATGTGCCACGCCTGCCACGCTTTCCGACCCTGGCACGCACAGCGCCCCCACTTCTTTCGCAACATCCGCGGTGTCGAGAATGTGCCACGCCTGCCACACTATCCGACCCTGGCACGCATAGCGACCCCACCCCCTGCGCACCCGCTTGTGGTATCGAGAATGTGCCACGTGCGATGTGGAAGAGGTGCCACGCCTGCCATGCTTTCCGACCCTGGCATGCATAGCGCCCCCACCCCTGCCGCACCCCGCGGCGTGGAGAAGGTGCCACGCAAACCAACCTGTCCGACCCTGGCATACATAGCGCCCCCATACCCCGTGCACCCGATTGCTGTTCGAGAGTGTGCCTCGCCTCCCCCGCTTCCAGACCCTGTCACGCACAGCGTCCCCACCCGCTGCGCACCCCCTGTGGCGTCGAGAATCTGCCACGCCTGCCACGCTTTCCGACCCTGGCACGCACAGCGCCCCCACCCCCGGCGCACCCCCATGTGAGGTCGGGAATGTGCGAAACCTACGCGTACACTTTGTGGGATGTGCGTGTCATATTGGTGACGAGGTCTGGGTCTGTGTCTTGCGTATATGTATGCTGTGTGCGCGGCTGTATGTGGTGCTGCATGTCTCATGTGAGTGCCGCCTATGCGTTACATGCGTCTTGTGGGTATGATGCCTAGTGTACACTATATCGTCGCGGTGTATGGTGTGTTTGTGTGCGTGTGCGTGTGCGTGTGCGTGTGTGTATGAGCGTGTATGTGCGGCAAAGTGTGCGTGTGTGTGTTTGTGGTGTGCCTAAGTCAGTGCTGCATGCGTCTAGGTTGCACCATGCAGTTAACACGCCAGGTGTGCGGCTGTATGTGTGTATGTGAATTGTCTGTGCGAGCGAGACGGAGGTAGAAGGGGAGGGAGGGAGGAACGCGGGTGAAACGTGGGTGGGGAGAAAACCATAACCCCACGAACCATATGGGGAACTAACGTGTCAACCCTCTCCTATGCCTGCATGTGCTAAGCGTATGCCTTTGCGCGCGTGTGCGGCCGCATGTTGTCTGCTCCGCCACTGATGAGAATGTGTTGCGCGCTCGGTGAGGGAGGAAGAGGAGACAAGAGGTGAGGGGAGGTGCGGGTGAGACGCGGGCGCGCCGCGGGTGGGAAGAAAACAATAACATTAAGTCGGGCGTGTGTCACCCTACAGGGGGATTTTGGACGACCAATAAAACATACTCAAAACATATTTCAGAACGGTCAACAAATACTAGAAACAATAATCCCCTGACTATTTTTTAAACTATGTTTGAATCTACCCCCTGTAGAGGGACAGGCCCGACTTAACAATAACCCCACGAAACATGTGCGAAATTGCCCCGAGCGTCCCGCCCTCCACAGGGGGGAAGTAATTGTCGAGCTCCGTCTGGAGAGCACCGCTGTCGGGGATCAGAGGCCTGGCCAACCTCTGCCGGCGGCACCATCCGGCCGAGCAGGCGCCAGAGCACCCCTCTGCGCGCACGGGCTCGCAGCAAAGCCATGGAAGACTAGCTAGAGCGCGGCACGACACAACACGGCCTCCCGAAGAGTCAAAACACTGCTCGGGATGAAACACGGGTACCCGGGGAGGGGTCCAGTCCAGACCTCTGGGGAGCCACGTTGCGACAAACATACACCGACCCTGAGCCCAAGATGGGTCTGGTCAAAATATCGGTCTAGCCCAGGCCCCCAGGGTTCCGCGCTGCGACAGGAATCAGGACGTCGGGGGTCTGGTGGCAAATGTACTTGCATGACATTTCCCCCCTCCCATTCCACCTCTCCACCACTGAAGGGGCCCTGGGACACACAAAAAACAAGATTCCTATGTTCTGTATTTGTGGCTTCCCCCGCTTCCCATATTTTCTCATCTTTTCTGGGAAATCGACTATCAATTGTGCCCGTGTGTTTTGTTCCCTCCTGAACCACCTTGTCAAGCAACGCTGGGCCGGCAAGGCGTGCAAGTGAGTCCCCATTTGCGTCATGTTTGAATTGTTGATCGGCTCGCTGCGCCCCCTCGCCCCCTCCCTCCGTGCAAGTAAAACTCGCCAGAATCTAAAGAACAGCTCCGTCTGAGAGCCCCCCAGGACGCCTCAAGAACGCTCAAAGATGTACATCCCATATGCTCCTCACCAGAACCCCGACGTCGCGATGTCTTTGCATCCTGGACCTCTGTAGATCTCGACCCTTCCCCAGGAAGAAGATCTTGATCCAGAAACGCCTGGGCCCGGCGAGGGGCCCTCAGAGGTCGAACACCGCGGAGAAGAGGCGGCGCCTTTTTTTCCTCCACTGCTTCGAAGGGCTGGGTCCCTCCTCCCATATCCTCAAGTCGGGCCTGTCCCCCCACAGGGGGATTCTCGACGAAAAATAAAAAATGCCCCAAACATAATCCAAAAATAATCCAAACGTAGTCTGGGGACTATTTCTTGAGCACTTTTTTTTGTTTTATCTGTTTGGGGTATTTTGGGGGTATCTTTGATTCTTCGTCGACAATCCCCTGTCTGGGGGACACGCCCGACATCACCAGATCCTCGACTTCCAGGCGGAGGCGTCGGCCCCCCCCCCCCCAGGTAGAAGGGGCCCCAGGACACACAAATAAATACACACAAATAAACCTATTCCCCATAGTTTCCCATATTTTCTGGGTTTTTGTTTTCCCCCACCCTTCCCATATTTTCCCATATTTTCTTGGGAATCGACGATTAATTGTGTCTGTGTTTTTGTTGTTCCCCTCCTGACAGGTGCTGACCCCCATGACGCGGCCGGAGGCGCCGTGGCCGGTCGCCAGGGCGGCCCCGGCGGAAGCGGGAGCCGAAACTGCTGCTGGCCGCGGCGGCGCCGCGCGGTGCAGGGGGAAGAGGAGGAGGAGGAGGAGGAGGAGGAGGAGGAGGAGGAGGAGGAGGAGGAGGAGGAGGAGGAGGAGGAGGAGGAGGAGGGGGGGGAGGAGGAGGGGGAGGAGGAGGAGAAGGGGGAGGAGGAGGAGGGGGAGGAGGAGGAGGAGGAGGAGGGGGAGGAGGAGTTCTTTCAGCACTGACCACCCACCAGACCACCCCAACCCAACCCGAAGGCCCGAACTTCGGCTTGGGGGGGGGGGTACGGGTTCCACATGAGATTTCCCGAGGTTCCCCGACCCCCCCCTCCCACTGGAAATGGAGGGCAAATCGAGACCTTCGGGTTGGGTTGGGGCGGTTTGGTGGGTGGTGAAACACGCGTGCGCTGGCGTGCGCAGGCGTGCCAGGACCGAAAACCGATCGGGAGGGGCCAACTCACGGTGGGGAACTGGGGGTCCCAAGGGCTCGCCGCTCCTCTCTCGTCGGCCTGAGCCTTCCTGTGGCCGGGGGTGGTCTGGGGGAACCGATGGCTCGGGAGGCGGTAAACTAACGATTGGAGACTAAGGAGGTGTGGGCGGAGTGCTGTTATGCTTGAAGTGGCAGGCGGTATAGTTGGGACGTTGCCGCCTCCCTGCTCCCCACGCTTTGAGCTCTTCGCCCTGCGGGTGTTGCTCACATTCACGCAAAGAGATATCCTGGTGTTCTCTGATTGCCTTCCCCTGGGGCGGAGCTTTCGGGAAGCCCCTGGGCATGTTGTGAATGATACGAGTAGCATGCTGAACCTGTGAGCCCGCGATTGGGATCGTCTCGGGACGCGTTCGGGCCAGGCTGATCTCCGTTGGACGAAATCCCACCCATCCCAGGCACACATCGACAATATGCAAATCTCGAAAGTGGAGCTCATGTTGAATAATGCTGGTGACCTGTGCGCTGGTGAAGGCGCCCGTAGGGGCCAGCTGGGATCCTGGGAAATCAATGTTGTCCGTGACGCGGACACCCTCCAGGAGAAGATTGTGTTGCACCTCCTTGCTATTCAGCGCGGAGTGTTCCTCACCTGCTCCCGACAGGCCCCTTCCCCTAAAGGTCTCGTGGCTGCCCGCAAAAGGTCGGGCATCACCAATATTGAGGCGTGAGAGAGACGGCTGTTGGCCGCTGGCCATGACGCCTCTCGGTTCAGCACCACGTTCCGTTGTTCTCGGTGTACCCGCTCCTTCTCTCGGAAAGGGGCCCCTTGTCGCAGTTCTGGCCAAAGCTTTGCGTCCCATTGTCAGTGTTCGGCCAGGTCTCAGGGTAGTAGACTCCTCAAGCGGAGAGGGACGCGTGCGCCGAGCCGCCCCCGCTGGTGGCGGACCTGCAGGCGTGCCGGCCACTTTCCGACTATCCCTTGTTATTTGCTGTCCATCCCTCGCACACTCTCGCTACATGTCAGGGCGTGTTGTAATTGCCTGGTGTGCCGGGCGTTCGGAGTTGATCAGGCCCGCAAGCTGTCGAGTGAATGCGGGGCCTTCTCTCGTTTGTCCCGAAGGCTCCCGCCCAAGTCAGGCATATGGTTCCCCGAGCAGGGGTGAATGTCTGGTGCACCCAGGTTTGTTTTTGGTTACCGCATTCAGCGCAATCTGAATCGCAATCTCCTGTTCGCTCGCCCTCCTTCCTCGTCCTTCCTCCTCCTCATCTTCCTCCTCCTCTTCCTCCTCCTCCTCCTGCTCCTCCTCATCCTCATCTTCATCTTCCTTCCTCCTGCTCCTCCTCCAGCTCCTCCTCCTCCTCTTCCTCCTCCTCCTCCTCATCCTACTCCTTCCACTCCTCACCCTCCTCCTCCTCCTCCTTCTCCTCCTCTTCCTTCTCCTCCTCCTCCTCCTCCTCGTCCTAAAGTTCCCCTGATTACCCCCATCACGCTCGTCCTCGTCCTCACTTTCGTCCTCGTCCTGGTCGTTAACTCCTCGTCTTTGTCCTCCCCCGTTTTCTCTTCATTCTTTTCTCCTCCTCTTCCTCCCCGCCCCCATCCCCCGACTCCTGTTCCTCCTGTTCCGCCTGTTCCTCCTGGTTGTCCTGGTCCTCCTAATCCTCCTGGTCCTCCTGGTCCTCCTGCTCCTCCTGTTCCTCCTATTCCTCCTCTTCCTCTTCCTGGTCCTCCTGCTCCTCCTGCTCCTCCTGCTGCTCCTCCTGCTGCTCCTCCTGCTGCTCCTCCTCCTCCTCCTCTTCCTCCTCCTCCTCCTCCTCGTCCTCCTCCTCCCCCACCCGTCTTTTCCTTTTCCTCCTCCACCCCCCTCCTCCTGCTGCTTTCCCTCCTCTTCCTGCTCCTCCTCCTCACCATTTCTCTTCCTCCCTCCTCCGCCTCCCAGTTCTCTTCCTCCTCTTCCTCTTCCTCCTGCTCCTCCCCCCTCCTTCCTCCTCCTCCTCCTCCTCCTCCTCCGTGTTTCCTCAAGTTCCTCCTCCTCCTCCTCCTCCTCCTCCTCCTCCTCCTCCTCCTCCTCCTCCTCCTCCTCCTCCTCCTCCTCCTCCCCCTTCTCTGCCTTCATTTCTCCCCCGAGGGCCGCCCCCCTCTCGGGGTGGAGCACCCTGTTGCCGTTCGCGGCCCACAGGCACTGGCCCTCCGGCTCGCACTCCTGGGCGGGGGCCCGCCCCCCCTCTCTCGGCCGGGCGCTCCCGCGCGCGGCGCCGGGGCGCACCGCCGGCCGGCGACAGATTGCGGGGGCCGCGCGCACCGTCGCGCAGCCCCTCCCAGAAAAAAAAGTTCCGATGGGGGGCGCTCGGTCCGCCTCGCAGGTGGTTCATCGACGGCTTTCTGCCCTGGCCTTCCAGGAGGGCTAAAAAATAGTACGCGACTTAAAAACCTATCCCAGAGCTATTCTATGTCTTTTTATAAGTTTTTAGGCCTCCCGTGCTAAAAAATAGCTCTCTGGACGGTCAGGGGACGCACGCACCCGCGCAGCCCCGCCCAGAAGAGAAGGCTCCGATGGGGGGCGCTCGGTCCGCGCGCAGGTGGTTCATCGACGGCTTTCTGGATGGCCCGCGAAACGCTCCGGAAGCCTCCCCGCCTGGCCCCCGCCAACGCTCCCGCGCATCCCTGAGTCGGGGCGGGGCAAGAGCGAGGGCGCACTGACCCCACGACAACGCGGCGGGCCAAAGGGCGAGCTCGAGGCAGAGCGCTGAGGTAAGCTTCGGGGCGCGGGGTTCCGAGGATCGCGCGCGAGTACGCACAACAAAATGGTTCGGCTAACAAGCTTTCCCTTCCCATTCAGGAAATTGCAAACCAAACGCGCGCGCAATCGCAATCGGAAGCGCCGGGAATTCACTCGCCCCGATGCGCGGGCGCGGGGAGGGGGACGACGACGACAATGAAGACGACGACGACGACGACGACGGCGGCGAAGATGACGGACGCGACGTCGAAGACGACGACGATCCCCACTTCGAGGCATCACGTCCGCGCGCGCCACGGCCGTGCGGGCACCGCCACCAGCGGGGCTACCTCGCAACGCACTCCAGGCGCGACAAGGGCGCGCTCCCCTTCCTTGAACACGAAAAGGACGATGACGACGACGACTTCGAGGCACCATGCCTGCGCGCACCGCGTCCGCGTAGTCACCACCACGCGCGGGGGCGAGAGGTGGCGACCAAGAACGAGGAGGATAATCTAAGCCAGCGAGAGGTACACACTGCGAGCGCGAGGCCTGACTGGACCAAGGGAAATGCTGTGATCAGGAGCCGCGTCAACAGTTGAACCGCCACGCGGCCTTCCAATGTCACGCTGCCTTCGTGGGCTCGCCGCGCCCCGAACAAGCTCTTGCACGAAAGTCGCAGCAGGTCGTTAAAAATACAACTTGCTTCAGAAACCCTCGCCTGCCATACGACGCGACAACACGGCTGTCGCTATAACGGGGCCGTGGCACATCGGCGCCCGACCATGCGCTGCGGCGTCGCGAAGAGCACTCCACACCGCCAGCGAAGCCGCACGGAAAAAAACACATCGAACAAATGAATGCGCAACCCAGAACATGACACAATTCAACCCAGTGTCGTTCGGGGTCCTGTTCATCCCGGCAGATATGGCGCGACGTCCACACGTTTGCACAATATTCAACATTACACCAAGCACACTGGTGGTGCAACAGCTCCAACGGCAAAGCATCAAACAAATCTCTTCCATATTCTCTGCCCGTGTGAATTCGTCTTCATCCGGAGAAACGAGGTGATCTTCATCATCTCGTCCAGAATCCTCATTCGCACCCCACCACGCTGCCTTTCAACGTTGATCTAGCATGCGCCCAGTGCGCAAAACCGTGGACAATAATACATTTCGGGCCCCACGCGCGCGCCGTCACGCGCACGCAGCTAGATCCGTCCTCAACCATTGGCGCCCGATGCGTTTCAAGATAAGGCTGCCCCAGAACACTTGGAAACCCCATTGGTTTCAACGCTCAGTCCGCCCCGTGCATTGCATGTCCTCACGATCACCCTCGTCAGAGACACTTCGTCAAAACCATTATTGTCATCGCCAATCGCCGCCATTGTCGCCATCCCAACACCGACACATGGACACCGTCATCGCCACCGCCGTCTCCAACATCATCGCCGGCATTGGCCTTGCCATCGTCTTCGTCACCATCGCTACCGCCATCGCAATCATTATCATCGCTGCCGCCGATTTGGGCATCATCAAGATACCGCGCCCGCCCGACCCACCGACCCGCAAGTAAGTGTGTCCGCGCGCCAGCACGGTGTTTCAGGTCGCGCTGAGAAGTTCCCATCGGCAACCGCCACCGCGGCCGAACCAGCTGTGCCGAACCAGCTGAGCTGACCGCCCTGCGCACGAGGGTGCGCGCGCCGGCGCGGCTGCAGAGATGCGCCGGCCAGTGCCAAGCAGACGATGCAATCGCGGCCGCATTGGTTTTACAGAACAAGATGCGGATCAGACGGTGGGATGTTTGCGCGAGCACTGGAGTTGACAACTCATCATTGACATTGCGACTGGCACCTCATGAGCTACATCACATAGATTGCACCACCATAGGCAACCTTGCTCTACTTTGTGTCACAGTTTGAGCCACGCATGCTTCGCCACAAACTGTGCAAGTCATAGCTAGTACTATATCGACTGCGCCATGTAGCTTGTAACACGTCAATCTCAACATATTAACTGCGCCACACGGGTTCCGCAGCATGCTCCAAAAATGCTACACCACATAGATTTCAACGAAGCAATTGCGCCGCAGAATTTGCACCGCAGAGGGTACACATCCAGAGTGCAAACACGCACCGCTTGCTGTCCACGCTGCGGCAAACATCCTTAAGCCAAGAAGCATGCAGAACACGGGAAGCATGGAGGCGAAAAGGTAAGGAGGACAACGAGAAGCCGAGCCAATGGCCGCGGCTTGCCGGGCATGCGCACCATGCAGGACTGGAAGGTGTGGCAGTGGCGAGCTCGTGGCGATCTAAACCGTCGCCACTGGGCGCGCGAGAGTGGGCAGACGGAGACGACAAGCACGACAAGGAGGGAGGGGAGAAATGATGGCCCTCGCGCTCCGCAGCTCGCGAAGCTCCAGCAAGCCCATGAAGCCCCATTTCCCTGTTAGAGGCAAACACCACCCACTACGCACCCCATTCAGGGCAGGAGCCAATTCGTGGGCTACTCCATTGTGAAATCAATCAATCTCAAGTCGGAAAACCGGATCGGATCATAACGTGCGTCGAATCGGGCCTCATCGGAGCAAAGCCAGCCCGTCAGCGCGCTGCTGCTGAAGTAACACCGGGCCTTCGGACAAGAACGATAGAGAGTAACACGCCCACGGCTTCCCAACGCCGGCTTTGCGAGGCGGGGATTCATCCATGGTTAACCACCGCCTCGGAGCACATCCACCGCCTGCCGAGGTCCCGAAACATCGACACCCAGGCGGTGGTTCTGGAGAACTCCCCGCCTTGGGCCCGGGCCCACAATGTATTGTTTTTGTTCCAAAACTGGGGCCCAGGAGCGCTGGACCACTGCCCAAGGACCGGTTTTCGGCCCCGACCGTTTTCGACGGTCATGGGGCCTGGCGAAGGCCTCCAGACCCCGAAGACGACAAGAAACCTCCGCCTCGATGTTTGTCCGTACGCTGGAGGTCTGTGGAGGCCTGTCGCTTGGTATTTGCTTTCTCTGGCAACGATTCGCAAGAGTGTTCAAGTGGAGGGAGGAAAGGACCAGCAGTCGTTTCGCCCGAGACGTCCTCACCATGTACTCGGGAGTCGTGCCCTCGCCCCAATGCTGGCTACATGTTTGGTCCGGACGGCCACGCCCCCTTTCACCGGCAGCGGCCAATGAGGGGGGCGTCCAAGAGGGGGGGTGCAAATAGTGACCGGCGGCACGTGCGCGGCCCAGCGGGGGGGCCAGGGACGTAATGAAACAAGAAGAGGCGCCCTGAAATCTGGGGACATATCATGGGCCCCGCCATGATATCCACCCCCCCTAGTCATCACCCCCCTCTTTGCCGCCCCCGATAAAAAAGGACCAGCAGTCGTTTCGCCTGAGACGTCCTCACCATGTATTCGGGAATCGTGCTCTCGCCCCGATGCTGGCTACATGTTTCGGGTCGGGCGAAAGGGGCGGATAGCAAAGGGGGGGGTTGAGACTTTCTCGGCGCCTCCCGGCGCCGGGAGGGGCCCATGTGTCGAGGAATGGGCCCCTCGGTGGGGCCGAAACCAGCTGCACGCAGCAGAGCACCCCCCCTTTCCCTATCACCCCCTCTCGTTCGGCCCGAGAATCTCGGCGGTGGACAAACCTCCCTTTAGTAGACCTCCCTTCCCTTAGTGAAATCGGCCTGGGACCGAAACCGACGGACCAGGACCCGCAAAAATGACGGCAGCGACGCCCTCTCGCGAAACGAAAACGGCCAATTCGCTAATCGACGTGTCAGGGTAGGTGGTCTGTCCACCCCCGAGAACCGTGCTCTCGCCCCAATGCTGGCTATATACATGTTGGGTCCGGACGGCCACGGCCCCTTTCCAGCAGAAGGCGCCACGGCGCAAAATTGGCCGGGCTCGCGGCTCCGTGCGTCGGCGGGCTGCTCTCGCCTTCCCGTCCCCCGCACCTTCACTTTTGTTGCTGCTGCTGGGGCTCGGGCGGCGAACGAGGGGGGGGGCAGCGAGGCAAGGGCTCCCAACTTTGCGCTTCGCGCTGCGCGAAGTGCGAATAACGTCGTGCTTCGCGCCGCCTCCCAGGGGAGAAGAGGAGGATGAGGAGGAAGCGGAGCCGAACCGCGACGCGCGAATGACTTCGCGCCCTCGAGGGCGTCCTAGGTGAGGAGGAGAAGGGCCTTCTCCGAAGGCGGCGGCCCTCGCGGCCTTCCGAGAAGTCCGCTGTGACTTCCAGGAAGGCCTCGAAAACTTCTAAGGAGGCCAGGGGGCTTTCTAGGCCTTCTGAGAAGGCCTTCCTTGGGCATCGCTGCATAGGGGGACGATGGATGGGGGGGAAGACAGGTGCACTCCTCGGGTCCTACGGGCCCCCTCTGGGGTCCTCCAGGGCCCCTCTGGGGGCCCTACAGGGCCTGTCTTCTGCAGCCCTCGCTGCACCCCATCCATTGCCCCCCGTTACGCTCTGGACGCCCGAGATGGGTACGGAACAAATGGGTACAATGCCCAACAACAAATGTTGTCCCAGACCAACAGCGGCCGCTGTTGGGCAGGCGGCCGTCTGTCTCACACAGGCCGCGGCGGCGTGGATAGCGAGTCCTGCACGAAATGAACAGGAACTGCTGTTGGGCATTGTACCTATTCTTTCCGTACCCATGTCGGTCGTCCCGATACGCCATGCGGGCAATATTGATAGCCATATCCAGGGGGTCGCGGACTCTCGTGGAAGGGGCGCCGCAAGGCCGAGGCGCACTGGATATGGATAAAATTCGAGCCTCTAGTAGGGGCCTGATTTGTATCCATATCCAGTGCTCCTCAGCTCCCTGGGGAAGGGAGCCCGCAACCCCATCAAGCTGCAGTGGATGTGGACACAAGTTTGGCCCGTAACTCACTGCCCCCCATCACGCGGCGCGCAACTTCTCCTTCCACTGCCCCTCCGGCTCGCCGCCGAGCTTTGCTGGGAGGCGGAGAAGGAGGAAGAGGAGGCGGAGCAGGAGGAGGACGAGGTGGACGAGAAGGAGGAGGAGGAGTAGGAGGAGGATGAGGAGGAAGAGGAGGAGAAGGAGGAGGAATAAGAGGAGGACGAGGAGAAAGAGGACGAGGAAGAGTTGGAGGAGGCAGCTTTCCCGTTCCCGACTCTGCGGCCCGGTGCCGCGAAGCAGGCGCGCAGCCTCGGGCCTCCCGCGGGGGGCCGGCGGGGCGGGAGCGGGCGCGCGCCTTGAGGCTCGACTCGACGATGCCGTCCCGGAGCAGCAGGTAGCTGGACGTCTTGCCCTTCCACCTGCGAGGGGGGCAGCAGACGCAGAGGCCTCCCAGCTTGACTACCTACCAGACCAACCCAACCCAACCCGAAGACCCGAGTTTGACCCGAATTTCGGGTTGGGAAGGGTACGGGTTCCATGTGTTTTTTCAATGTTCCCCGACCCCCCCCCACTCGAAATGGAGGGCAAATTGAGCCCTTCGGGTTGGGTTGTGGTGGTTTGGTGGGTGGTGACAGATGGGTCCGAGTAGATGGGGTCGGAGGATCGCGACGCACCGTCGATGCATCGACATCGGCGACGACGACGGCGTGGAGAAGGTCGGGCTCCACATCGAGCCGCATCGCCGACGCATCGGCGATGCGGCGCGATCCTCCGACCCCATATACTCCGACCCTATAGACTCCAGATTTTGTAATAAAGGGAGGGGGGTCTCATTTCGGGGAGGGGTCTTCTCCAAGCTATCTTGGAGGGCCTGGGGGGGTCTGGGGACGATGTTTCGGAGGGTTCTCCCACGGGGGGGGGGTCTGAACTGGCTTGTCTTGGAGGGTCCAGACCCCCTCCCTTTTATTACTAAATCTGGAGTAGCCTAGACACAGGCGGAGGGCCCAAGGGGGAAAGCTTTGGAAGATGTCGGAAGACGGGCGTGAGGTCTTCTTTCTGCGTGTCCGGCCCCATGGAGGCTCTCGCTGGGCTCCAGGACTGCCCAACAAAAACCACTCGGGAAGGGTCGCCGCTCCAGGGGAAGGGGTCGAGGCTTCCGGGGAGCCCGTGCCAAGCACAGCCAGACATCGGATCGGCCTTCTGGGATGGCTGGAAATTGAGGGATGAAGAGAAGGCCCTGCCCTGGGATACAAGTGCATGGTCTATAAACCTCCTGGGAACCCCCAAAGCCTAGAGCCGCCAGGACGCGGCACATCACGCAGGGTTTACCCTGTCAGCTCACAGGAGTTTCAGCGCACAGCGCCTCGTAAACCAGGGTAGGGGCGTTTCTTATGCCCTTGAGAAAAGGCCTCCAATTCTTCTGAGGATCTGCTTCCCAAACCTGCGAAGGCCTGCCTCCGCCGACGTCCTCCCTCCGCACGCCGCCGAGTAAGGGGGAGCAGTAGGAAGTAGGGAGCTGGAATCGACGATACATCGCGGATAGATCGGCGACAGGCCCAGGATTTGCAAATCCGAACGTTACTGGAATTTCATGGGCGGGATGGACTGTCGGGCCCCCATCGGCGATCAATGGGCGATTGCACCCCCCCTGAGAATGTCCCTCCCTCCCTGACGTTGCCCCTGAGAAATCTGCACCCCCGCTTTCCTTCAATTCCTATCTCTGGGGCTAAATTTCTGGCCCGAGGAGCCTCCAACATGGATTTGCGGCGAAAAACTTCCCCGGAGAAGGGATCGGAACCTCTGGGGTCGCGCATTGAACAAATACCATGGCGAAGAACCCAACCCCCTGTTAACGTGTGTCAAATATGCGAATGAGCATACTGAGGAATCTGCAGTACCCCTGAACGCTTCGCCAAGGAACGTGCCCCCCACTCAACCCCCCCCCATCTACGCACGCACTCTTACGACTCAATCGGAAACTGGAAGACGACGACGAATGCAGCCACTGTGGCCGTCGGCGGAGTCTCTATGGGGCAACGAAGCGTGTGGGGGTCTGCCGAAATTGGGCAGGACACGATGCTACCTGTGAGACCACGAAAAATTTGAGGGGTCTGCCGACATGAAGCGGGGCACCACGTGAACCCACTGGTGCTCTGGGCTGGAGGCAACCGACGTAATTAGCTGACAGCATCGGGCCGCATCGGACCGTCGGAATCGAATCGGACCTGAGTCGACCCTGCTGGCGTCTCGAGTCGGGCAAAAGGGGGGGATAGCAAAGGGGGGGGGTTGAGAATCAGCTCACCTAACTGATTTTTCCGGCGCCTCCCGGCGCCGGAGGCGCCCATGTATCGAGGAATGGGCCCCTCGGCGAGGCCGAAACCAGCCGCATGCAGCAGATTTCGTGACCCCCCCTTTCCCTGACCTTCCAGAGAGCTATTTTTTATCAAGGGAGGCCTGAAAACCTAAAAAACGAAACGAAACAGCCTAAAACCAAGAAATATAATAGCTCTGGGATAGGGTTTTATGTCGCGTGCTATTTTTCAGCCCTCCTGGAAGGTCAGGGCAATCTCCCCCTTTCGTTCGGCCCGAGCGTCGCCTCGAAAGCAGCGGCATCAGCATCAACCTTCGGGGCCCCGCCGCGGGAGGCCTCCGCTCGAGGCCGGAGCCCCCCGGCGGCCTGCGGAGCAGCCCCGGTCGGGCGTTGGCAGAACTGGGTTTAGCGGAGCCTGGTTTAGTGATTTGTACCGGGGGCGCGCCCCCGTCCCATTTCCGCTGACCGGAACTGCCGTCACCCGAAAAACACCAGTTACGGCAAACCTGGTTTAGTGAATCTGGCCCATTGAGGGGCCCCAGGGCCCTACCACTAACCGGGTCCCCTTACCCGGGGCCCGGCGGCCTGCGGAGCAGCCCCTGGCGGCCTCGCGCGCCCAGGGGAGGGCGCAGCCGAGCGCCGGCCCAAGAAGTCCACGCGGACCACCGGAAGCTCACAGCCCTGTAGTCTTAGTAGGGACAAAACAAACCTACCTCGCTTTTGACCACCCTCGCTTCCAAGAGATCCCAAGCGATGCCAAACCACGGCCTGTGCTGGTCAGGCCGCTTGACGAGGAGGCGCGTGGTATGACTTGGCTTTGCCTGGAAGCGAAAGCGGGGTAGGTAACTCACGCCCTGACTTAGGTCGGGCGTCTTAGGTCGGGCATGTCCCTACATATCGGGAGCGGCCAAGAGGGGGGTGTCCAAGAGGGGGGGGTGCAAATCATGACAGGCGGCATGTGCGCGACCCAGCGGGGAGGCCAGGGACGTAATGGAATAAGAGGAGGCGCCATGACATCTGGGGAAATATCATGGCCCCCGCCATGATATCCCCCCCCCCCTAGTCATCAACCCCCTCTTTTCCGCCCCCGAACATAAGGGGATGAAAAAACGGCCCTACCCTGGGTTCCAATTGCGCGGTCTGAAAACCTCCCGGGAAGTCCCAGAGCCTAGAAAGCCGCCAGGACGCCGCGCATCACGCAGGGTTTATTCTGTCAGCCCACAGGTGGTTCAGCGCACAGCGCCTAGTAAACCAGGGTAGGGGCGTTTTTTGCGCCCTTGACTACAGGCGGATGTTGGAGGAAACCATAGAAATACGCAAAACATGCACGAATAATGGTAGAGAAGTCGTACCCAGACTATGTTTGGAGTATTCTGGAATGTTCCTCCCGTGGAGCGACATGCCCGACCTAACTGTAGTCTTCTCTCCTACGATTTTCAAATGGACCAAATCGACCCGATCGATCGGATCGACTATCGGGGATGGACATGTCCTCCTTTAGTAAAACGTGGTTTAGTGAAAACGACCCGAGGCCCAGACCTGGCGGGCGCAAGCCTGGAAACTGACGGCCGCGGCGCCCTCTCGAGAACAGAAAACGGACAATTCACTAATCGACGTGTCACTGTTGGGATTTCTGTCCACCCCCGAGACTGTAGGCCGACGAGGAGGAGGAAGGGGAGGAGGAGGGAACGAGGAGGAGGAGGAGGAGGAGGGGACGAGGAGGAGGAGGAGGTGGAGGAGGCGGAGGAGGGAGGAGGAGGAGGAGGAGGAGGGAGGGGAGGAGGAGGAGGAGGAGGAGGAGGAGGAGGGGACGAGGAGGAGGAGGAGGAGGGAGGAGAGGAGGAGGAGGAGGAGGAGGGTCTCTGTCCACCCCCGAGACTATAGGATCGATCGGATCGGCATGGGCCCCGGCAGGCGTCGGCGGCTGTGGCGGCGACGACGCCTGCCGGGGCCCATGCCGACGGCGGCGAGGGCGGCGCGAGGCCGACGGCGGCGAGGGCGGCGAGGGCGGCGAGGCTGCGAGGCCGACGAGGCCCAGGACAGGGGCGAGGCCGAGGCCGAGGAGGGAGCGAGGAGGAGGAGGAGGAGGCGGAGGAGGAGGGGGAGGAGGAGGAGGAGGAGGAGGAGGAGGAGGAGGAGGAGGAGGAGGAGGAGGAGGAGGCGGAGGAGGAGGCGGAGGAGGAGGAGGGGGAGGAGGAGAAGGAGGAGGAGGAGGAGGAGGAGGAGGAGGGGGCGATGATCGGTGGTTCAGCGCTGGGGTCCCGAGGGATGGGGCCCCGAGGGCCCCGTCGTCGCCCCCGCGGGGCGGCCCACTCGGTGTTCGTCAGCCACTCGAACTCCGGCTCGACCTCCGAGTTCTCCGTCTTGGGCCTCAGCGAGCGGGGCGTGGAGCCGGGCCCCCATACAGGCGGATGTTGGACGAACGAGATGAATACGTCCCCAACGAAGATCCAAACATGCTCGAAAACATCGTCCCCTGACTGTCTTTCAGAACACCATTCGCAAGGGCTCCCAACGTCGCGCTTCGCGCTGCGCGAAGTGCGAATAACTTCGCGCGCTCGCGCCGCCCCCCAAGAGGGAGGAGAGGAGGACGAGGAGGAGGGAGGAGGAGGAGGAGGATGAGGAGGAGGACGAGGAGGAGGAGGAGGGGGAGGAGGAGAAGAGGAGCAGGGGAGGAGGAGCGAGGAGGAGGAGGAGGAGCGAGGAGGAGGAGGAGGAGGAGAAGGAGGAGGAGGAGGAGGACGAGGAGGAGGAGGAGGAGGAGGACGACGAGGAGGACGAGGAGGAGCGAGGAGGAGGAGGAGGAGGAAGAGGAGGAGGACGAGGAGGAGGAGGAGCGAGGAGGAGGAGGAGGACGAGGAGGAGGAGGAGGAGCGAGGAGGGCCCGACCCGAGCGCGGGGGCCGGCGGGGGCCAGAGGGCGGGGCGCAGGCTCGACCTCGGCCTGAGAGGCGCAGCCAGGGCGGGGACAGAACGCTGGGCGTGGAGGGGCCCTGGGACACACAAACAATTTCTGGTCTGCGAGCCTCTTCCGGTTAAAAGCTAGGCGGGCTACGCAAAGCTCTAATTGGGGAGACAGAGCACAGGCGGGCGGGGCCCTGGGACACACAAACAGATAGACGCACGAATAGACAAGTTGGGCGTGTCCTCCTACAGGGGGACTTTCGATGAAAAATAAGAAATACTCAAAAAGTGTTCCAAAATGGCCAACACATACTCAACAAAAGGTGCCCAGACTATCTTTTCACTTGTTTTGAATAATCCTCCTGTAAAGGGACGCGCCCGACTTAAACTTGAGTCGACCCAGCTGGCGGCGCCTCCGAAGCAGGCGGCATCGACCTAAGCCTTCGGCGCCCCGCGCTGGAGGCCTCCGCTCGAGACCGGAGCCCCCCGGCGGCCTGCGGAGCAGCCCCTGGCGGCTCCGCGCGCTCAAGGGAGGGCGGGGCCGAGCGCCAGCCAAAGACTGAAGGGGCCCTGGGACACACAAACAAATGGACGCAAATAACCAGATTCCCCACGTCTTCCCATGTTTTTCCCTGGCTTTCCGTCTTCCCCCCCCCAACTTCCCTTATATATCTTCCCATATTTCTTCCAGGGGAATCGACGATCCCTTGTGTCTATGTGTTGTTTACCCTCCAGATCAGCCTGAGAGACGCAGCCGGGGCGAGGACAGAAAGTCGGGTGGGGATCCGACACCGCGCCGCCTGGGCACGGGGCGGGCGTGTCCTCAGATCCGTTGCCTTACAGGGGCGAGGCCCTCAAGGGGCCCCAGGCAGGCCCCAGGAGGCTCCCAAGAGGACCTGCGAGGCCCCAGGGTACCACAAAAATCGCCTTCAAGAGAATCCTGAGTGGCCTCCCAAGAGATCCCTACAGGCATCCAAGAGGCCATTGACCTTCTGTGGGGGCCCAACCACGAGAAACCCGTCCACAGGAAACTCAGCCCTGAGCCCGGAGACTCCAGGACGTCCATGAATTTTCTGGTGTGGGAGCGTCGCGCTCTCCATGACAAAACTATCGAAACCCAAGAAACCCAGGGCACCCTGGAGGCAAGAAGGGTGTTTCTTGGCATGGGCCTCCACTGTATTCCCTGAGCCTCAGCCCCCAGTTCTGCGGAGTCAATCAGGGGCCCGGGCTTAAATCCCCAAGTCTCAGGAAGATCTTGGGGCTCGTCGCGTGCCCCCTAGGCTTTGCCAAGCTGTGGCGCGTGAATTGCTCGGGCCCCGGAGGGCCCGCTCGGGCCCCGGAGGGCCCCAAGACGAGCCAAGAGGGCCCGAAGAGGCCCCGGAGAGGCCCCGAAGACGGCCCAAGAGAGCCCCGAGTCGACGAAAGATGGGCCCAAGACGCCCAAGGTGGCCCCAGACGGCCCAAGATGCCTCCAAGACGCCCCAAACGGCCTCCAAGAGGCCTCCAAGAGGCCTCCCAGGAAGGCCCCAAGAGGCCAACATCATTGATGTTCCCTAGGTGTTCACTTGTTTTTGACCTACTCGTCTTTTCGGCTTGCCGACGCTAGAAGACGGCCCAAGAGGCCTCCAAGACCGCCCAAAGACAAACCAATGCGCCCCAAGACGGCCCAAGCAAGCTTCAAGACGGCCCAAGAGGCACCCAAGACAGCCCCAAAGGCACCCAAGACGGCCCCGGAAGGAGCCTGAAAGAGAAGACACGAACCGAATATCCGAGCCTTCCACCCCAATGAGGCCTCCAGGCGGCCCCAAGAGGCGCCCAGGAGGCCCCAGGAGGCGCTCAAGAGGATCCAAAGAGGCCCAAAAGAGACCCCAAGGAGCCCCGAAACGGCCCCCAAGAGGCCTCAACAAGGCTCCAAGAGCCCCCTGAGAGGCCTCCCACGAGATCCCAACGAACATCCAATAGGCACGGTACCAGGATGGGCCGAAGGCCATTTGATAAATCGAGAACCTCTGAGATCCAGCGGCTCTGGACGATGTCTCGGGCGCCGCGGCCTTCTCAGAGCGCTCCGGAACAGGTTTATCCTCGTCCTAGCCCCGCCGAAAATCTCTACAGATCGGGAACAGGAGAGCCACCCACATTAGGAGCACACCAACAGGCGAGGCCCTCGGGTCCGCGCGAGGAAGGGTTCGCACAGGGCAGGACCGTTTGGTGAACGCCCAGGGAGAGCTGGCAAACGCCAGCTGTGCGGGTCGGGTGGTTGTCTCCCTCCGTTGACATATCGGGCTCCGGTCGGTCCCACTGCCCAGGGGTCCCCCGTCCTCCTGGAGACTGTCGTGGTCCACTTCTCGCAGACCTCACCCACAACTTCGCACGTCGCGCTGCGACGGGCGCGCCCGAAACGATGCCCTCTTCTCGTATTCTCGACACGCCCCCTCCTGGATAAAAAACAACTCTCCGGCCCAAACCGCAAAACACGGAAGATCTCCGCGCCCTTGCGAATGGCCTCGCCGACAGGAGACCGCACATGGCGCGCTGGTGAACAAAAGCCTGCGAAAGCGACAACCGTGCGCGGTAGGTTTGCGTCGTGACGGCCCGGTGCTTGTTCGTTCAACCTTGAACGACGATCGGCGATTGATCGATCCCCAGATCGTTCATGTTGGCCGACTCTTGGCCGCTGGCGGCGTTCAACTTGCAACGCCCGCGCCAGGGTCGCAGCCGCGTCGACCCGACACAAACCTGCCGTAGCATGCATAGCCTTACATTAACGTGCTGTGTTGTCGGGGTGACCGCAAGAGCATCGGAGCGGTGCTCCGCGAGCTAAGAACCTCCTGTACATCGTGCATGCGTGGCTGAGCTTGCTGACAAATCGTGAAAACACACTCCCATCCTTCCGTCCTTTCAAATCTGCTGTGTGTCTCTCTCTCTCTCTATCTCTATCTCACCCCCTCGTTCTCGATACATATTATACATGTATATAAGCAGATCAATGCATGTCTCACTCTTCATCGTACTCCTGATCTCTCACTCTCTCTGAATCTCACTCCCTCTGAATCTCTCTCCGTTTTGTCATAGTCTCACACGCAGAACAACGCCTGCGCTCCGGTAAATAAGAGCAACCTCGACAAAGGACGCCCGACATGCCAGGACATCGGAAACAATGATCAAACAGCCTTCTCGGCCTGAGTCGCCCCAGGAGCCCGAGAAGGCTCCCGACAACTCGAGAGGCTGGGCAAGAACAAAAGAACTGAAGGCCGCTTTCCCTAAGGAAACCACGGCTCATTTGGATAAAGAGAACGATCAGCTCTCGAGGCCGAGACGTATCCCTCCCTCAACGGGGGCATGGTGACCACAATCCCTGGGGGGCTCTCGACTGGAGACTCTCGACTGGAGGAGAAGCTTTCGCCATACTCGGTGATAGATTATGGGGAGGCGCTCATCCTCGGCACGGCTGTGTCAGAACAACCCCCAGCGGGTGCGTCTACGGCTTCCCCTGCTTTTCTGAGTGTTTTTTTGTTGTTCGATGGAAGCATAATCCGATCAAACAAAATCCCCGGATCCAGACCATCCCTCCGGACAACCCCCCTTGGACAAGCCTCCCTGGGATTGTTCTAATATCTGATTCGAGTAAAAGATCGACAACATAATTTACTTGCCCTGAAATGGACTATCTGGTTGAATCTACAAAAAAAGATGCAGAAATTACGTGTAATGTTCCGTCGATTCGTCGGAAAAAAACAATGTTGGGGCAAATCAATCATGTAGTCCATCCTCTACTCGAAAAACTGAGGGGGAAGAGCGGGAACTGGGGGTAGGAGTCCGCCTGCGATCTATGGCAGAAACGTCCGCGCGGAAAGCAGCCGCCAGCAGAGCCAGCGCTGAGCCATCAAACCGCTGCGCTCCCCCCCTGGCAAGAGCGCCCCGCCGTGCACACTGGCGCATCGACAGTGCGGGCACTTCGCGTCGCGGGCCCAGATGCTCCACGGTTTCCGAAAATCTTGGAGGTCCCAGAAGCGCACAATAGGAACACATGGAAACAATCATTGAAAACATCGGGAACGCGTGCCAGAATCTCCGTTGCAGATGTCGAGGCCCTCTTGAACCCCTCTCCCGGGCCTTGGGATCCGTCCTGGGACGACCTGAGGGGACTCTTATGCCGACTTTGGCGCCCTCAAAGCCCCAAAGCATTCGAATTGACTGTAGGGAACAAGGAAGAAGCGGCAGGGCTACCCTTCGCAACAATCCGTGGGCACATCCTGACCAGGACTTCGAGGCGAACCCAGCCGTGGCGACGAGGGCTTCGAGGAGACCCAAAACTGGCAAGGGATGCAGTGTCGACACCTGTCCCTCCCATAACCTCCCCAGAACTCCGACGGCGCGTTTTGTTTGCAACCTGGACCCATTACTAGGGAGCCCACAAAGGACGTACACGCCCAGCTATGTACATGAACACGGCCCCTTGACCCGCGAGACGGGCCGCGTGCAGGAGAAGAAGAAGACGGCCTCCTTGGAAAACCGCGGGACTTCTCAGAAGGCCTGGCCGGCCCTCTGAGAAGTTTTTTTCTCTGTGCATTCAAGGGAAGCTGGCAAGAACTTATCGGAAGGCTGGGGGGCTTCCGAGCCTGTCGAGAAAACCCGCCTCTTCTCTCTTTCCCCCTCGGAAACGCCGCCGAAGCGGGGGGGGGGCAGCGTGTCGAAGCCCGAATGGAAAAGAACTGGCTTCGCGCAAGCCGGGACTCACTGGAGCGCCTCGTCGGCCCCGCGCTGTTCGAAAAGGCGACGAGCGAGGGGGGGGGAATGAGAAGGAGAAAATCTTCTCAGAAGGCGGCGGGACTTCTCAGAAGCCCTGGCGCCTTCTGATAAATTGTTCTGTCTTCGGGGAAGGCTTAGACAACTTCTCAGAAATCTGGAGGACCTCCGAACCTTCTGAGAAAACCTTCTCTTTCTCACTTCCCCTCCTCGCTCGCCGCTGAGAAAAGGCGACGGAGGGAAGGGGATGGGGAGGCGGAGTGTCATGCAAGTAAGCTTGGCAGAGCCTGAACACGTTTGTCCTGCACACGTTTAGGAGAAAGAGAAGAACAGCTGAGGGGATGATCAGTGGACAGGTGCTATGAAACCGCGTGCGGTCAGCAGTGGTACTCGGGCAACCGACGACAACCAATAACAGAACTGAACACAATACGCGAGCGGCGCTCTCCAATGTTTGGCCATACTACGGAAACCATACTCACATGAGCATGGGCAGCCCCCGTGGGTTCTGCGGCGAGCTCAAGCGGGGAGCGGGCCTTCTCAGAAAGATATGAACCCCCCTGGGCCATTCCGCGAAGTTCCCTCAGCCTCCCCCGCACACGCTGCAAACTCCTCAGATGGCGCGAGGGCCCCTGAGAAGTCCCGCCGCCTTCCGAGCAGGCCTTCTCCTTCTCACTCCCCCCCTCGCTCGCCGCCGAGGGGGGGGGGAAGGGAAAGGAGGACGAAGTGCTGAGCATTTTCTTAGGGTGCAGGATTCAGGGTGAAATCCATATGGGCTTTTGCACCTCGAGAATCAGTCCGTCTTGTGATTCGCCCCTTGCAGATGCAAACCTCGAACACCCATCGAAACGGCATTTCAGACTTCACCCTCTGCCCTCCACCCAAAGAAAGTGCTCGGGAAGAGGGAGAGGTTATGGGGGAACCGCGAGGCGGCGTCTGAATCACCTGCGCCCCATCGTGCCCGACCGAGGCCGCCGCCGCTCCCGAGCCGACCCGGGCCGAGGCCGCGCCGCCGGCACTCCCGAGGCGCCCGAGGCGGCCGACGCTCCCCGACCGGCCGAAGCCGCGCGCGCACGACAGAGGCCGCCGCCACTCCGTCGGCGGCGGCCCCCCGCGGCCCCCGCCCATCATGCCGCCGCCCATCATGCCCTGGGCGTACCGGGAGGGGGACGGGGAGGAGGAGAAGGATGAGGAGGATAAGGGAGGAGGAGGAGGAGGAGGAGGAGGAGGAGGAGGAGGAGGAGGAGGAGGAGGAGGAGAGGAGGGGTAGGGGGTTAGGAGGAGGAGGAGGGGAGGGGGAGGGGGAGGAGGGGGAGGGGGAGGGGGAGGGGGAGGAGGAGGAGGAGGAGGAGGAGGAGGAGGAGGGAGGAGGAGGAGGAGGAGGAGGAGGAGGAGGAGGAGGAGGAGGAAGAGGAGGAGGAGAAGGAGGGTGAGGAGGAGAGAAGGAGGAGGAGGAAGAGGAGGAGGAGGAGGACGAGGACGAGGAGGGGGGAGGGCAGAGACGAGCGGAAATTCGGGGCCTCCTTCGGGAAGCGGAGAAACACCGATGCCGCTATACACTCCTCGGGTTTTTTTCCGGGGTGCGCGCTGACCAGAATTTCGAGGAGAATGCAATGGGGGCGACGAGGGGTCTCCATGATGAGCGGCGGTATCGGTACATTTCCTTCTCCCATCATGCCGCCGCCGCCCATCATGCCCTGAACGCTTCGGAAGGGGAGGGCAGGTTTGAGCGAAATCGAATCGCGCAATCGGGTCGAATCGAATCGAATCGTAGATGGCCCTGGATGGCGACGCGTCATATCGAGAGCCTCCATCTGTGGATCTAACGATCCAAAAAGATTTCGCCAAGCTCGGGTGGACGTCTACGGGGGGGAGGGCAAGCCGCCGTGCGGCCGCCGCCCATCATGCCCTGGACGCCTCGGAAGGGAAGGACAGGCCTGATCTGGGTCGAACCCTGGACCGCCGACGGTCTGTTTTTCTCAATCCGAACAATTATCCTCGACTTCGGCCCACAGTACCCCCTTTTGCTCGGATCCGGAACACAAAAAAAAACCTGGGGAAACCGCCGCCGCCCATCATGCCCTGGGCGTTTCGAAAAGAAACGGGCGGGCTCAGACGAAAGCTGGGTGAGCGAGAAACGAAGCTCGATTAGGAAACAGCTCCTGGGAAGTCCTTGTCAACAAAAACTGAATGCTATTCAGTCCAGGGCTATTTCGCTGGATCGTGCCAAATTGATCCAATAGGTGAGCCCACGACCAGACCAAGTCCAAGTTTTCGACCACGGACGAACCATCGCCGATTCTGAACCGTACCTCCCAGGGGGTGCCAACCTGAAGGCAGGACCCCGAAGGGAGCAAGGGGAGGGAGAAACGGCCCTGTGCCCCTCCTGCTCAAGATCCGATGGGATGAAGATACAGAGGCCCAGGGTTCGAGGAGGAGGAGGCGGAGGAGGAGAAGTCCGTTCCGTTCGAGCCTGCGTGGCCCCCCGCGCTGTCCGACTTGGGCCTTGTTTGGACCAAATTTGGAACACATCTGGAACTTAGACCAGATTCGTTCCCTCTCAAAGGAGACGAGGAGAACGAGGAGGGGGAGGAGGAGCAGGAGGGGCGGCGATGCGGAGCAGGAGGAAGGGCCAAATGAGGAAGGGCCAAATGCAGTTCAAATGAAATCCACATGCAAGCAGGACTGATTTCAATGTCGCCGCCCAGGGCTCCCATGAACAGACATCGAATGGATCGGGCCAAAAACGGATCGGATCGCCAACGAACCTGGACAACCGCGCCCACGACTCCCAAAGAAACTACTCGCAAATGGCCTGGGTCCGCCGCAGGGGACTTACGATCCAGTACATCGAGGGAGGCACATGTTTGTTTCGGATGTTTGCGAATCGGCACTTTGCGAGTAATGGAACGCGCCCGGTGAGAACCCTCCCGGAATCGAAGCGAACTCGGATCGCCTCGCCCCACTCCGGCTGGCCGCGGCCGATGCCCGCGAATCGGGCCTGATCGAACCGAGTCGGAATCGCGTGCCCGACCCGCGAACCGAATCGCATCGAATCGGATCGCTAGCGGAACCAGACCCCCGACGTCATGGTTTGTTCCACAACGTCGATCCTAGAACGTCTCGGCCCACTGCCCCGGGACCAGTTTTTAAACGACGACACGGGAGCGAAGAAAGCCACTAAACCTTCCAGGTCGGCTGCGATGGACTAAACCACGCTGGGCGCCTCCGCCACCCCGACCGACGCAGAAGACTCAGCCGACATGTCGGGGACGCCTGGCAAAAAGAATACACAGAAGTGCTCGTCGCTGCAGCGGCCCTCCCGCGGTCGAGGGGGCGGTGCCTCGCGCCTTCTGCGGCTGTGCGCTGCCGCGGCGCTGCTCGCCACAGCGGAGATTACCCTAAACCTTCCTCTGGGGCGGCCCTCTTGGGAGGGGGCCAGCAGGTTGCCCCCCCTGCTCAGCCCTTACAGACAAGCTGTTTGCTCCTGGGGTAAACGAAAGAGCGGTTCGCATTGAAACGCATGCCCGATGGAAGGACGCCAGCCACGAAATTTAGCCAGAGGGAGAAGCGCAGTGGGGAAGTCTCTGTTGGGCAGGCGGGGGGAGAAGGCGAGTTGAGCCTAACTGCAGTGGCCGTTCGAGCTCGGGGGGGCGGACTTGCGTCAGCTTGCTGCGATAGAAAGAACTGGGCGGCCTCAGCATCAGCGGCGAACGCATAATCCAAAGCATGCTCAAAAAAATGTGCTCAACAAAATGCGCTTGCAATTCTGCTGGCGCTTGGGGCACGGGGTCGAAACTGCGCGCGCTATCCTTTGCTGACGCCGCGCGGTCTGCATCTGACGCAAATGGTGTTGGCATCGGTGTTGGTGTCGGGTGGCTCGAACCTGGGCGTGTTTCTCCAGCTGTAAATACTACGCGCCGATCTTCGTGAAGCGTTCCAGCCAGACTGATATTTTCTTCCATGCAGCCCGCCGGGGCGGGGCCCACGCGGTGGCGAATCTTCCCCTCGGCGCGGAGCCCGTCGATGACATGCTTGCGGGCTGGCCAGTCGTGCGCTCCCATGACCAGCTTGGCGACGCTCAGGTCCTGGGTCTTCTCTATTCGGATAAAATGTACCTGATCCATGAGTGTTTCAACGTCGATGGTCGGGTCCTTGGCCTCGTCTGCTGGTTGGCATTCCTCGAAGTAGTCGGTGATCTTCCGCTTCGCGCGCCCTCCTACTTCGCAGGTGACCACGCCCTCCAAGGCCAGTGCTGGGGCCGGCGGGCCCCAGCGTTGGAGCGCCTCCTAGTTTTGTTCGGATTTGAATCCGCGGACCCGCTCGCGAAAGCCCTCCAACTCGTCGCTGATGCGGGTGAAGGGCGGGTGGGATGCTGCCATCGCCCAGGTGTCGGCCACGGCGCGCGTGGGCAATCAGATCTCCTGAGTGTTCTGCGGGGCAAGCGTCGTCGGGGCCACGAAGAAAGCACACGTGCAGAACGCTCAGAGACCGGCTTGCCATCCTGACTCGTTTTCCTGGCGGGCCTCGGGCCTGGCGAAGGCCCCCCGAAACCGAAGGCGGCGTTAGCTCCCGCCTTGATTCTACCAGTATAATGGTTCCTGGCTGTGGGTCCGAATAGATGGGGCTGGAAGCCTGCGCCGCATCGGCGATGCATCGACGATGCGTCGGCGCCATCTGCATGGGCGATTTCGGACTCCGCGTCGGGCCGCGCTGGCGACGCATCGGCGATGCGGCACGATCCTCTGGCCCCACCAGCAGCCACCAATTATACTCAAGATGCGCGATGCGAATGCAAAGCCCTTGGACATCCAACTCTTTGAATTTTCCTTGAGAACGGCGGGCCATCCAAACTAGCCAAGGATAAACCAAAGAGGCGCGGATGCAAGGGTAGGGAGGTTACCCGTCCTTACCATTGGTTTCGACTGCGCTACGACCGCATCTGGGGCGCCTCGAACATGGGCGGCTTGGGGATCGCACGCCACTGAGGGAGAAAGAGAAAGAAATAAACCCGACGGTTCAGCAAAAAAACCGACGGGGGCCCATCGGAAATGCCCTAGTGCCCCCACAATGCAGCCTCCCAACAGACGCACCGTGAGCAATCGACAGGGCCCCCCTGGGAAAAAGCTCGCCGTCTTCGCCAACCCCGGGCAGATTCCCTGCCGCGTTTCCGCGGCCTTCGCGGGCCCTGGAAAGGACGGGCCATGCGTTTTAACCGGCTGTCCCAGATAAGGACCCCCAGAAGATAGTGAAGTTCGGGGGTCTGGCGGGGATAATCAGCGATTGTACTGGCGAACGTAATGTTACGATGATGGCGACGATGATGATCCCGGGCGCTCGAGTAGACTGACCTGTTATATCTTGGCACATGTCTGACCCGAGAGATCTATTGGCTCGTGGCTACAACTTGCCTGCGCGAGAGGTCATGGGCGCCCCTGGCCAAGAACCCTCTCTTGCGCACGACTTCAAACCACTCGCCCACGCAGGCTCGGCACCCTTTGGAAGCCGTCCTTGCGCCGGAGGCATTCGGTGCAGGCCTGGGCGGCAGCGCCCCCCTCCTCGAAGGTGGCGCGTTTCGGCTCGACCGCCGCGGGGCCCTTGAAGGGCTTGGACTTGGCCTTGCTCTTGGCCTTGGCCTTGGCTTTGGCCTTGTCGTTGTCGCTGGTCTCCTTGAACGTGTTGACCCACTCATTGCCTCGGGCGCGCATCGCGCTGATGCTCGCGGGCGCATGGCGGCCCGCGCCTCGAATCTCGCGCGGAACGCGCTCGACCCAACGACTCGTCCACAGGCCGCCGGGCCAGGCGTCGGCCTGGGACGTTTCGTTGCTCCTCGCAGGGCAGGTATCGCCAGGGCCAACGGCGCCGAGCTCGCGGAGAATCCTCGTGGCGGCACTGGGAGGCCACGTGCGAATCCTACCCGCGTTTGCTGAGGATGAGGGAGGGGTTCACTTCGCTCGGCAGCCCCCGAGCAAAGTGAACCCTGCCTCCCCCCTTCAGAAATCGCGGGGTGTAGGTGTGAGGTCGCATGTGGCCCTTCAGGCCTGCTCGGCGTTCTCGGGCGGCTGCTTGAGGGCGTCGCGGTGCCCCGCCGCGACGCCCCCGCCGATCCTCGACACCTCGGCGGGCGTTGCAACAAGTGCCCCCCGCCC